ATGTATAAATTACTTTGGACATTATTGCCATTTTCATGATGTTGATTCTTCCTATCCATGAGCATGGAAGTTTTTTTCTATTTGTTTGTGTCCTCTCTTACTTCTTTGAGCATTGGTTTGTAGTTCTCCTTGAAGAGGTTCTTCATGTCCCTTATATGTTATATTTCTAGATAGTTTATTTTCTTTGTAGCAGTTGTTGATGGGAGTTTATTCATGATTTGGCTCTCTGCTTGTCTATTATTGGTGTATAGGAATGCTTGTGATTTTTGCACATTGATTTTGTATTCCTGAGACTTTGCTGAAGTTGCTTATCAGCTTAAGGAGTTTGGGGGGAGAAATGGTGGGGTTTTCTAAATACATAATTACATCATCTGCAAACAGAGACAGTTTGACTTCCTTTCTTCCTGTTTGAATACCCTTTATTTCTTTCTCTTGCCTGATTGCCCTGTCCGGAACTTCCAATACTTTGTTGAATAGGAGTGGTGATAGAGGGGCATCCTCATTTCGTGTCAGTTTTCAAAGAGAAGCATTACCGTATTTTTAATGGCTGCAAAATCTATTGTGATATTATCCTTTGTTCTATTCCACATATTGGTGGTTGGTTTCTTCTTATCGTTGTTAGTTTTGTTAGATAGATGTTTATCATTTTGTAGTTTTTTTCCCCAAAGAATACCTTGTGTCAATAATTTTCTGAATTTTTCTATTATCAGTTTTATTGATTTCTGCTGTTTATTTTTTCCAATCCTCTGCTTCATTGGGTTTATTTTACTCTTGATGGAGAAATTTTATTTCTACTTTATGATTCATTACTATTTATTTTGTTCAAATTGTTCCAGATGTGGCTAATAGAAGCTCTTACTTTAGTTCTAGTGACATAGTCCAGTTTTGTTGTTGTTTCTGAGCACTTTCTTACCTTTTGGAGCCACAAGATGCTGTTCTTCCCTGTCCCAGAATCAACTATTTCTTCTGTGGAATCACGATTTCTTTTACTGGGTAATGGTATTAGAAACCAAGATCTGAATGCTAGGTGTGCTGTCACTCCTGTGGAGTTGTTGCTTCTAGACCCTTTCAACTGACAGAACCGGGTAATTGTGTGTGTGTATACTAACTTGTGTATAAACACATATTTATAAATATCTTTAAATGTATCTGTATCTATATTGAAATAAACATAAGTTCATATTGATGTCTCTGACTCTAATCCATTACCACATGGATTATTCTAGCCTCCTCCCCTTGCTTATCTGTAAACTCCCATTACATGGATTAGAAACTTGGTGTTCACCATTCACTATCTATTTACTTACCTTTTACATTTCTGTATACATGTAGAAGAGTGGCAGAATTGTTGATTCATATCCTGTGGAAAACAGTTTTGTCAGCTGAAGCATAGTGCTTATACTTATGTACAGTTTCTTTTGCCTTCAGTCTCACGGACTCCCTTCATTTTGTTGGTGTTTTTTTTGTTTTTAGTTTTTTAGTTTTTTTTTTTTTTTGAGGTAGAGTCTCGCTCTGTCAACCTGGCAGTGGAGGGATCTCGGCTCATTGCAACCTCTGACTCCAGGGTTCAAACGATTCTCCTGCCTCAGGCTCCTGAGTGGCTGGGATTACAGGTACTGGCCACCATGCTCGTCTAATTTTTTTTTTTATATTTTTAGTAGAATATACTACTAACAGGGTTTTCACCACGTTAGCCAGGCTGGTCTTGAACTCTTTACCTCAAGTTATCTTCTGGGCTTAGTGTTCCAAAGTGTTGGGATTATAGATGTGAGCCACTGCAATGCCCAGCTGATTCGTTTCTTGTTTTTAAGATGGAGTTTTGCTCTTATCACCCAGATTGGAGTGCAATGGCATGATCTTGGCTCACTGCAACTTCTGCCTCCAGAGTTCAAGCAATTCTCCTCCCTCAGCCTCCTGAGTAGCTAGGATTACAGGCACGAGCCACCATGCCCAGATAATTTTAGTATTTTTAGTAGATACTGGATTTCACCATGTTGGCCAGGCTGGTTTTGAACTCCTGACCTCAGGTGATCTGCCCACCTTGTCCTCTCAAAGTGCTGGAATTATAGGCCTGAGCTATCGCACCCAGCCTTCGATTCATTTCTGATCATTCCTAGGTCATCACCTTCCCCCCACCCTCATCCACTTCAGCGAGGTTGTTTCTACATATCATACATTGAATATGGCATATGTAATACATGTGATTTCCATGATTAGGTCATAAAAGGCTATATGGCTCTGCTTGGCATGCTGTATCTCCCCACCCCCACTCTCTCTCTCTCTCTCTCTCTCTCTCTCTCTCTCTCTCTCTCTCTCTCTGTCTCTCTCTCTCTCTCTCTCTCTCTCTCTCGTTCTCTCCAGTTACACTTGGAACCCAGACAATTTGCTATGAAGAAGCCTACACTAGCTGTCATGGAGAGAAAGACTCCCAGCCTGCAACCAAGACAAGGTGTCAAATATGTGTAAACAAGCTGTCAGATGATTCCAGGGCTCAGACTTGATGGAAGAAGCCATCCCTTCTGTGCGCTTCTGAATTCCATGAACATAACAAATGGTTGTTTTATGCAACCAAGTTAAGGAGTTACATTATGCAGGCATAGTAACTGAAACAACTAATTTGCAACTTAAATAATACTGTTATTTATTTCTGTTGTCATGCGTGTTAATATTTTTTAACTTTACAAGACTTTGAATAGTTGTTTATATACACGCATCACTTTCTTTGCTGTTTTAAAGAAATTATGTATTTCAGAATATCGTATAATAAACATAAAATTTTCCACTTTATTTTTGAATATACAGTTCAGTAGCTTCAAGTACATTCAAATTGTTGTGCAGCTGTCACTACCATGAATCTATAGAGCTTTTACATTGTGTAAAACTGAAACACTTTATCCATTAAGCAGTATCTCTTCTTCCATCAGCCCCTGGCAACCACCATCCTGCTTTTTCTGTCTCTATGAATTTCAGATGGAAAGTTTGTCTTTGACTGGCTTATTTCATTTAGCATGTCTTCAGGATTCATCTGTGTTGTAGCATGTGTCAGAATTTCATTCTAAGATTGGTAATATTTCATTATATGTGTATACCACGTTTTATCTATTAATCTGTTGATGGCACTTGAGTTGTATTCACTTTTTGGCTATTGTGAGTAATACTGCTATGAACATTGGTGTGAAAGTATCTGTTTGAGTTCCTGCTCTCAATTTCAAGTTTTTAAGGATCCACTGTACACTTACAGTCACACCTGCAGTGCATGCACAAAGATTCCAATTTTTCTACATCAACAGTTGTTATTTTTTGTTTATGTAAATAGCCATCCTAATGAGTATGATACAGTATTTTATTATGGTTTTGATTTCTTTTACATCATTGTTATTAGGAAAATTTAAGAACATTTAAAAACCACTACATATCTATAATGGCTGCTATGCAAAAAACTTTTTTTTTTTTAAAAATTACTACTTATTTGAGAGTTTCTTTTTTTTTATTTTTATTTTTTGAGACAGAGTCTTGCTCTGTCGCCTAGGCTGGAGTGATCTCAGCTCACGGGAACTGCTGCCTCCCAGGTTCAAGTGATTCTCATGCCTCAGCTTTCAGAGTAGCTGGATTATAGGCATGTGCCACTGTACCTGGCTGATTTTTGTATTTTTAGTAGAGATGAAGTTTCGCCATGTTGGCCAGGCTCGTCTCGAGCTCCTGGCCTCAAGTGATCCACCCATTTTCCCTTTCAAAGTTTTGGGATTACAGGCGTGAACCACTGTGCCCACCCTCTCTTTCCTAGTTTTATGAGTCCTATTTTCAATGATAGTTAAGTGTTCAGAGTAATAGCAGTGGTATTTTGTTCTACTTCATTTTCTGATGCTGTTAGAATTCTAGCTCAGTTCCTGTTGATGCTGTCTGGGGTGGGTAGAAGGTACCTTTTGATGTCCTTGTTCACCTATATGGAGTTCTAGTTAAAAGCTGCTGGGCCTGAGTTTTCTTATATCATTGGGTGGATGACAGGGGAATGCTGGCCTCTCTTACACTGTTGTTGCCTCAGATTAGACCGTCTGCTGGTGCCCTGGTTGGTAAAGCAGGAACTGGGATGACCTGGGGTGTAAATACTGTACGTGGATCAAAATGTTGCCTTGGGCTGTGAAGGTCAGGTGTTTCATTCCTCTACAGCTACCTGTGGGTCATACTGCTTGCCATCTCTGACTCTTGAAGCAGGACTGGCATGGTATGAACTCCTTTGCTGCTACAGTCCATAGCACAGCTCAGGGCTTTGTTGCTCTGCTAGTGCATGTAGTAAGCAGTGCTCCATGGCCCACAATGCAGAATGAGGCTTGAATTTTCTCATTAGGTCTTTATTGGGTTCACCTTGTTCAGAGAATGCAGAGTCCACCCAGCCCCCACCCTGTCTTTCACCTGTTGATAGTTCCAGCTTGTAGGTTTCTCCACTACCCATCCAGGGGTATATGGGAGACAAAGAGAAAACCCAAGGGACTCATTGCCTTGTCTGTTCCTTGTCTTGAGTTTCCTAGATAGTCTACCTTTTTTCTTTCAGCTTTTAGAATCCTAATGTTGATTGATGGATAACTTCCAGGGAATTTAGTTGTATTTAGAGGGAGAAGCACGGAAATGCTATCTCATTCAGAAGGATGAGGGTTAAGAAAATATATATATATATTCTCTTATATTTTCTCATAAATGTTCATATACATATATACTGTGTATGTATATATGCATACATGCCTACATCACATCTTTATATATATCTATATTCATGTGTGTACGTGTAAATATGTGATCATCTAACTGCCCTAGGTCACCAGTTTTTAGCTCAAAGATAGAAGAATCTTAAGTACTTATTTTAATCATATATCTTTGGTTCTAATCTTAATGGCTTTTGAGTTTTCTGAAAACTATTTCTGATTCAATTATTTCTGAATTTTAAAAAGCCTGCTTGATTCTCTTATTCTTTTAATTGACAGTATCTTTATATAATTTTCTTCTAGTTCAGGCCAATGAAGTTCATCGGAAAATTCTGGCAACTGATGTTAGTTCCAAAAATACATCTGACTCGAAAAAAATGTCAAGTAGAAACATAAATGATCATCACAGTGAAGCTGATGAAGAATTTTACTTATCTGTTGGCTCACCTTCTGTTCTTTTGGATGCAAAAACATCTGTATCACAAAATGTTATTTCCTCTAGTGCCCAAAAGAGAAAGACTTACACTTTTGAAAATTCAGTAAATATGCCGCCTTCAAGTACAGAGGTTTCACTTAAAACCAAAAAAAGGTAACATTTTATTTAAATAATATTAATTGCACTTTAAAAATTTTACCTTTTATATTAAAAAATGGTAATTCAATCATGTTATGCAATTTTACAGTAAGAAAGGAGGAATGTTAACATGTTAACATATTAACATGAGAAAATATGCATTTAGCATATATTCAGTTTATAATAAGGAAGGACTTAAAGTTTACTTAAGAGAAGTTTAGAGGTTAACTTTTCTATAGTCTGTAGAAAGATGTATTTTCTCTCTGATTTGACTGCTTCCTAAGATAAACAATTTGTATTTCCTCAGTATTTTTTTATAATTGCAAGTGTAGGTATATATCAGGTCACTTCTAGGGTAGCAGAGCATACCTATTATTGAAGATACTATACTTTGTGGACAGCTGGTTTCTCTTTCTTGGCCTTACCTTTGGCCTTTAGGAAGCAAAGTGGATTGTTCAAGGACTTTTGCTGTTGGAGAGCTCTGTAATGAGTGTAATTTCTATCTAGAGTATTGTGTGATTCCTGGAGCCAAGGAGTTAAGTATATTCTAAGACTTTGCTATTCAAAGTTTGGTCTGTCACTGTGCTCTAAGATTGCCCTGAGAACCATCACCTAGCTATACATTTCATTGATGTATACTTTGACTATCGTTTTCTCTTTTTATGTTTTTGTATTGGTAAATACAAAAGTTAATTTTCCTGAGCAGTTTATCTTGTGTGTTTGGAGTGCACAAATCAGCATTTATGTTTTAAATAAAGGCCTAGTGCAGAATTTTAAAGTGGTCTGTATTGTCTGTAAGGGAGTTCAGAAAGGCTCATAACTCAAGAAACATTACAGGAGCATTCAGCTTATCCTCCATTTAACCTTTTAGGTTAAACTTTGAAGATAAAGTTATTTTAAGGAAAATAGAAATAGATAATAAAGTATCAGATGAAGAGGATAAAACATCAGAAGGACAAGAAAGGCAACCATCAGGATCATCTCAAAATAGAATGCAAGATTCAGAATGTGAAATTCAACCACAAGCTAAAAGTTTTTCAACATTGTTTTTAGAAACGATAAAACGAAAAAGTGAATCCAGGTGAGTTATTAAGAAACTATCCTTTGAAACATTTTTCTTTTTTATTCTATGAAGTATGTATAAGGATTCCTAATGTTATTTAACTTAGAAATAAATCATTTAATTAACAACAATTTTAATTGAAAATTTTGTCTGACTTGTAAAGAGAGATGTCGCCTGGCCAACAATGCAGTATTTAAAAATCACTATTTTAGGATCCCCTATGTCACTATCATAGGTGTCAGAATGTTAGTGAACATACTAGGAATTTTTTATTCCTGGGCGCAGTGGCTCATGCCTATAATCCTAGCACTTTGGGAGTCTGAGATGGGCAGATCACTTGAGGTTAGGGGTTTGAGACCAGCCTGACCAATGGTGAAACCTTGTCTCTACTAAAAATATAAAAATTAGCCAGGCATGGTGGCACATTCCTGTAATCCTAGCTATTTAGGAGGCTGAGGTAAAAGAATCACTTCAACCCGGGAGGTGGAGGTTGCAGTGAGCCGAGATTGTGCCACTTCACTCCAACCTGGGTGACAGAGTGAGACTTTGTCTCAAAGAAAATGAAGTTTTTATAACAACATGTTGAATGAATGAATGAAATTCCCCTTTGTTCAGTCTCTGTTTCCTGTAGTTGATTATTTTTATGTATATATTTTACCCCTCATATGGATATTGTCACCACCATCTGAAACAAATGTGTTATAATTATGAGCTAATTATATCATGTCTGAGAAATAATTTTTTAATGTTCTTTTTGATATTCTAGTGAGTAAAGTTAATTTTATGTTTAATTATTGTAGCCACATATAACTATTCACTATTCCCAGTGCTTTCTAGCATCATTGCTTCCACTTAGGCTCTTCCTTCTGATTGTCTTTCTTGTATCTCCTTGTGACCAAATCTTATAAATCCATCAAGATCCAGCTCAAATGCTACAAAGCCTTTCATGGTTTTTCTAGCTAACCACAAGCCATCTTTCCCTATTCTAAACTTTCATAGTATCATCATTGTTTCATAAGGATATCATTTCTGTTAAACATCCATTCATTGTAGTATTTGTATTGACTTTGTCCTTTATTCGTTTTTATAGTTTTATTATATAAATTTGTGAAACTCTACCATTAGAGAGTATATTTCTTAGAGTATTTGCTATTTTAAATTATAAGATTTGTCAGGAGTTTGAGATTATAGGAATAAAGAAGGCATTTTCATTTCTGGTTCATTTTCTATATTCTAATTAAAAGAGAAAAACATAATCTAATTTTTGCATTCTGGCTTTCTTTCTGTTATGGCTAACCAGAGCTAAGTAAGCCTTCTCATCCAATGGAAAAAGCAGAAACAAGGGTGCATATGCTAGCTTTGGAGTTTGGATGTTTACCTTGTTTTTTATTTTTTGTATCTCACTGCAATATGTGGTGTATTCAAGGCTACTATAAAAAGCAGGGAAATGAAAAGTCAGTCAGTCTGTCAGATTACCATCCTTGGAATAGTTCCTTCCTTCTCTAGAAAACTTTCCTGACTAATTGGAGGAGGTGCTGTATGCACTAGTCTTAATTTATTCAACACCTCATTAAATGCATGAATCTCTTTGTATGTACTTAACATGTACATGATTTTATGAAAATGTAAGAATTAGTGTTGATGTTAGATTATAAGACATAAAATCGTAGTTGAAATTGTCTTACTGTTTATCCTTTTACAACACTGGGAGTGGGAAATAACAATAATAGTCATAATACAGGTTTTCTCCCTTTTAGTAAAATACATAAAGTTTGGGCTATAGCTATGGAGAAAGGTCTAGAGTTGGGAAACATTGTTTGACTTTGACTTCATTATTTATAACAGATTCTGTAGCATTGTAAGCTTTGTAATAAGACTTGCCTTTTATTTTTTCCTGTTTCTATGGCACTAAATTTCTTTTGTGCTTAAGCTACCTTTCTAGATACACTCCATTTATTTCTATACCATGATTATAATATGAAAATATATATGAAATACCAAATTTGGAATGAATTTTTACTCATATGCTGTCATATAACAAGTTAGTACACATTTAGTGGCTTAAAACAACAAACATTTATTATTTTATAGTTCTGTGGGTCTATTGTTTACAGTTCTATAGTAATGTTAGTAATTTTTACATTCGTTCAACTGTCTGTGTATTTGGTGTTGCTATATATAAAGAACTTGGGATGTAAAAGAAACATTGGAAGAAATTTTCCCCAATCTCTCTCGCTCTCTCTTTTTTTTTTTCTGAGACGGAGTTTCACACAGTCACCCAGGCTGGAGTACAGTGGCATGATCTCGGCTCCTTGCAACCTTTGCCTCCTGGGTTCAAGCGATTCTCCTGCCTCAGCCTCCTGAGTGTCCTGGATTACAGGCACCCGCCATTATGCCTGGCTAATTTTGATATTTTTAGTAGAGATGGGGTTTCACCGTGTTGGCCAGGCTGATCTTGAACTCCTGACCTAAGGTGATCTACCCCCTTCACACTCCCAAAGTGCTGGGATTATAGGTGTGAGCCACTGCACCCAGCCTCTCCAATCTCTTATAATTTAGTAGTATTCCATTTGAATATCAGACTTGGAGTTTTCTCAGAAATGATCTTGTTGATTTATTTTGAAAGTGAAGAATTCAGACCCCAAAAGGCACATATACAAATATGTAATTAATTATACCATTATATATTATAGTGGCATTCATTTTGGACTGCGAGTCAATGTATCTGGGTTATAATTTTACCTGTCTGGGCTTCAGTTTTAGTATATATAATGTGTGAGTGAGTGGGACCAAATTAGTCGATACCTATCTCTAATTTCCAGCTCTAAAGTTTTGTGATGTCATTGTTATAAATGAGGGTGAACAGACATTGAAATGTAAAAGGAGGGAAAGATTTGTAAGATGAAGGGAAAATTGAGTAGCTATATAAACTGTTTAAAAGATATGTAGATTTTGTTTCCTAGATTATTTTCTTTGCTAAACAAAGATAAAAGCTTCATTTTTTTGAACTGTTAAAAGTATCACCCTTTTTTAGTCCCATTGTTAGGCATGCGACAACTGCTGTACCTCATTCATGCCCTCCAGATGATAAGGAGTTGATAGAGGATGAATTTATAATAGACGAGTCAGATAAAAGTTTTGCCAGTAGATCTTGGATTACAATACCAAGAAAGCCAGGGCCTCTGAAACAACGCATAACATCTCCGGCTGAGAGTACTACAGTCCTTCAAGGTAGAAAGTCAAGAGAAAAACATCATAATATATCATCTAAGACTTTGACAAATGACAAACATTCCCAGAAAGCTCACTCAGTAGAGACATCTCAGCCCTCTGATGAAACAGTACTGGATACAAGTAATGCTTTGACAGGTGAAATGGTAAATGACTGTAGATCTACAAAATATGAAATGTATTCTGAGAATGCAAAAAAATCATCTGGAAGCAAAAGAACTATAAAACAAAAACAGAAAAGAAAATTTAAGGCTAAACTAGCTAAAGAACAGCTTGACGTGGGACAGTCTAAAGATGAAAACATGTATACATCACATACTACCCAAGACAAATTTCAAAGAAATTCAGACAGAAATATGGAAGAGCGTGAAGAGATGGGAAATGATCGTGCTTCCAAAAAACAAATGTCACCTTTGGGTAAGTGTTTATATTAAATATAACTGTGATCATTATTCTACCCATTTTAATATCCTAATTTAGCTTTGGCAAGTAGGCAAAGTAAACTTGAATCAACAAAGAGCCTCAAAAGCCTATAGGTTATTTTCTAGAATCTTTTTATTTTATATGTAATTCGATTCTAACTCATGGTTTTTGTTTATCTTGTGAGATGACAGTATATATAGAGGGCAAAGTGAAAAGGAAAGGCTAGTAAACAAGTTAGTGTCAACATGAATATGACAGAATGATAAATTCTTTTTTTTTTTTTAATTTTACTTTAAGTTCTGGAGTACATGTGTAGCTCTTACAGGATTGTTATATAGGTATACACATGCCATGGTGGTTTGCTGCCTTCATCCCCCTGTCACCTATATTAGGTATATCTCCTAATGTTATCCCTCCCCAATCTCCCCACCTCCTGCTATCCTTCCTATAGCCCCCTGCCCCCCAACAGACTCCAGTGTGTGATGTTCCCCTCCCTTTGTGCATAAATTCTTTAGAAAATAATAATGTTAAAAGAAATTCTAGGGTGGCATGGGGCTATTTTTTATAGAAATAAAAATCCATTCTCTTCCATCATTCACTCATTTATATGACAGTTGTTGAATGCCAGACACTGTATTAGGCACTGTAGTCACAAAAATTACTAACTCAGTATTTCTGCTGTTAACAAGATCATTCTGGTGGGTTCTGTAGAACAATAGATAAAAAGGAAGGGTATGAAATTTTGATTTATTCATAATTTCTTAGGAAAAGACATATAAAGGAAGTATACTTGAAGGATGCCTTCTATAATTGTAAATATTAAAGACTTACTGAGTACCTGCTATATTCTACACACTGATTTTTTTACATGTATTCTTTATCTAGATCGGTTAGTGAATATATAATGTTATTAATTTCCATACCAGTTGTACTGATTTTCTATTGCTGTCATATGACAAGTTACTACACACTTAGTGACTTAAAACAGCAAACATTGATTATCTTACAGTTCTGTGGGTCAGATGTCTCACTGGGATAAAATCAAGGTATTGGTGGGGTTTTCTTTCATTTTAGTGGCTCTAGGAGAAAATCTATTTATTTACCTTTTCCAGCCTGTTTAAACTACCTATATTCCTTGACTCATGGTCCTCCTCCACAGTCTGCAAAACCAGCAATGCCAGCCTTCTGATGTTTTGAATTTATCTTGGCTCTTCTTCCATCATCTCATCTCTCTGACCACATCTTTTAAAGGAAACATATCATTAGATTGGGTCAACCTGGCATCAAGATAATGCCTGTTTTTCAGGGTTTATAATTTAATCACACTTTAAATCTCCTAAGAATTAGATTGAAAAAAATCATTTCAAAACAAGAAAGCAGTAATTGCTTTTACTTGGGACATTGTAGGAAGGAACTGTATATATTTTTTCAGTTTCAGAAGATAATTGTTTTTGGCTAAGGAGTATGTAAGAGTTATCAAGCAATGTGAAAAGTTTGCATTTAATAGAACATTAGTGCTTACTTCAGCAGCACATATAATTGACAGAAAGAGAATATGTGACTTTTAAAAATAGAGGTGAAAAGAAGGCCACAGGATAAAGTTAAGAAGTTCCTATAATTGAGGGTTTTTTTTTTTTTTTTAATTAGTTATAGTTTCCTGAAAACTCCTAGTAGATTGTGAATTGGTTTTATGGTTTTCTTTACTTTAGGAAGCAAGAAAAGTAGTCCTAGAAAAGATAAGGAAGAATCTAAAAAGGGGCACCTTTCCAGTGAGTCCAAGGACAGACTTGTACCTGAAGAAGTGACTTCAACTGTCAGAAGAAGTCGAAGAATTTCCAGACGTCCATCTAATTGGTGGGTGGTAAAATCAGAGGAGAGTAAGTATTTTTATTTAAATTATGTTTGTTCACAGATAAAATCATTCTGTAAGGGGCATTATATTTGATTTTATATTTCTATGCAGAGAATCTTATGAGGACCAAGTTAAATTGGGTTATCAGAAGAAATGTTAAGTCAATTGTAAAGATATTCCTTGAAGCTTTAATATATAAAGCATTCTAGGTATAGGGATAATAGCTATGGGAAAACAAAACACCAGACCAAAAATCCCTGCTCTCCTGGAGCTTACATTCTAGTTGGGAAAGGCAATATAAATAATCTTGCTATTTTAATGTGTTGGTTGTGAGGGATACAAAGATTGTTAATATGAGGTTCTGCCACCGAGGAGTTTATAATCTAAAAGGTTATAATTGAGTTTATTACACATAGAAAAGTAAATTATTTGTGTTGGTGGTTCTTAAGACTACCCTTAGATTTGGTAATTTTCTAGGAGGTCTGGGCATATAGTTGTACTCAGTGGCTGTGATTCATTACAGTGAAAGGATGCAGTGCAAATTCAGTAGAGAAAAAGCGCAAGAGCTAAGTCTGGAGGAAATCAGCAGAAAGAGTTCTTTCTCAGTTGATTCCCACAGGAGTTGCTTAATTCCTCTAACAATGAGTTGTGACAAATTGACGAAATGTCTACCAGGAAAGCCCACTAGAGACTTAGTGCCCAAGATCTTTACCGGGGGTGGTCACATAGGTACTCTCCCTAGCAAGTACTATAATTCCATACTCCCTGAACGAAGGCAAATATTCAACCTGAACCATATTTTTTGTATAAGCAGTTTAGGCACACAAAACAACATTTGTCAATTAGGAAATGATGGGAACCCTTCTGAACTTTAAGGTTATAGGGCTAACTTTGAAAGCAGGCCCTTTTAAGGCAGTGTACTTAGACCTCCTCTGCTAACTTTTTTTCTGCACAATATGAAACATTTATTGTTTTGGAAGAATTGTCTTTTTTTTTAAGGGAAATGATCCTGAAAAGATTGGTGGATCATGAGGTAGAATTCACATACACAAATTCTATTGACTATGGGGCATTTAGATTAATAAGTGAAAGATTAGTACAAATATGGCATTATATCTGTGAAGCCTTATTGTTATGAATTATTAAATCATTGAGATTATTGATTAATAGCATCAATTATTTATTTTGTTGCAGCCTTTGGATTTTGGAGTCAGATCTGAGTTCAAATGATCACTCTTCCACTTAGAGTAGATTACTTTGTTTAGTTTCTCATTCTATAACATGATTATCTCATTGAGTTTTATAAGGATTAAATGCAGTTAGCATAGTGGGTAGCATATGTTAATGTTGAAGTGTTAAGTAATACTGTTACTTCTTTGGGGAACTCACTTTTCTGCCCCAGGTTGCCTGAAATGCTAAAGTACTATGGCAGATCGCACATAAATAGTGGGGTAAATAAGTTCTTGCAGAAATTAAATGTGCTAGATTTCTGAAACTATCAAAAACCACTTATTTAACAGTCCTGAAATAGATATTGTACTTTTGATCAAGCTGGGAATCAAAAAAGTAGAGAAATGCTTATATATCATATAGTCTAAACTCTGATCTGATGGAAGAAGCAACTGAAGTCTGAAGTTAAGAACAACTTGACCTGTCTCCAGCCTACTTGTAGTACATGTGACATTGTTGACCTTCCGTATATATGAAGAAATGTATATGGAGTACTTGCCTTGGAGCAGGAATGAGGTACAGGAGGACCAGGACTAGAGTAAGACAGTTGAGACACTAGTATGAAAAATGTAAGGCATTAAATTTCAGGGTTGTGTGAGTTCAGCCTCTGTACTTGCACAGACCTAAAAATGAGTACCTTCTTGAATTTTCCAGCTGAGACTACTCTTGCTTCACCATAGTCCTGCCCCTATTGTTAGGCATGGGGAAAATACATAAACTACCAGTCAGTTACTTGGGGTCAAGGAATTGTCAGTCTGCTGGAGGAGAGGGGTAGAAATAAGTAAATAGTCACATGTGTGATAGCAAGCTACCTTAAGACTTAGAAATTAGGGAAAGCTTCCTGAAGGATGAATTAGGAATTAGCTAAGTGATTGAGTGGAGTAAGGAGGAAGGATGGAATGTTTTAAGTAGAAGTAGCATATGCAGAGATCTGGAGCAGAGAGCTTGGTCTTTTCCTTTTTTTAATTTAGTGTGCTTTAGAATTGTCTGGGGAGCTTATTAAGACACCGATTACTGGGTCTTGCTCTGCAGAGTTTTTGATTCACTGGGTCTGAGGTGAGGCATGATAATTTGCATTTCAAATTCCCAGATAATGATGATCTTGCTCGTCTAGAGACTGCCTTTTGGCAGCTAGTGCTTTAGAGAAACTATAGATAGTTCAGTACTGATGGTGTTTTTTGGTTCGTTTGTTTAGAGTGTGCTTTTGGGAATTGTGGTTTATAAAATAAGCAAATCTAGATGTAGATATAAATTGATGTTGCAGGTATTTGGACTTCATTCTAAAGCTATAGATAATCATTGAAATACTTTAATTAAGCAGGGTTGTAATGATCTAGTTTTTGTTTTCCAAAGGTGATTCTTGTAGCATTGTGAAGAATGGATTGAAAAATGAGAAGGCTAGAGAAGGGGAGATTAATAAAGAGACTGTTTTAATAATCCAGATATGAAATGATGAAGGCCTCTTCTAATGACAGGACGGAGAGCTTGAAAAATTTGAAAGGCATTAATAAAGTAGAATTGATAGGATTTTGGGAGTGATTATGCATGACTCAAATTTCTGATTTAGATACCTGGATAGATTAGGTAGTTGTATTTTTCAGTAAGATAGGAAATAAAGCAAGAGAGACAGATTTAGGGGAGAGCAGTAGGTGGATATTATAGGTATCAGTATAAATAGTAATTAAAGCTCTGGGTAGATGAGTCCCTCAAAGAATGTATATGGAGTGAAAAGCTGAATCTGTAGCCTTGGGGAATACCAGATATTAAGGATAGCTAAAAGAGCAGTGGGCAAAGCTAGAGAGTGTTTTTAGAAGTCTGTGATAAATTTAAACGGTCTGTTGCATATGTCTATAAACTGAAGAGCTGCATTGTTTAAATAATTTAATTTGGAAATAAATTTAGCCTATGAGGTGTGTGTGTCTGTATGTTTATATGCAAATATAAATTAAGTTTGTATTTCAGTGAGCCAAATCATCTGGACAAACATGCTAACTTTAGGTTATCATTGAATCTTTCAGGTCCTGTTTATAGCAATTCTTCAATAAGAAATGAATTAGCAGTGCATCATGACAGTAGGCAAAAATCTGCGAAGAAAACAAATCAGTCATCTAAGAATATTAGAAAAAAAACTACTCCACTTAAAAGGCAGAAGACAGCAACTAAAGGCAGCCCAAGAGTACAGAAGGTTTTAAATGCTAAAGGTTCTGGAGGTATTGTTGATCATGATGAAATTTCCAGTTGTCCTCAGAGTGAGCCATTGGAAAGTGATGAGGCAGACTTGCTTAAGAAGAAAAAGCTTGATTGTTCTAGGTAATATCTGTTATGTATACAATATATACTTTTGTTTTTCATCATTTAATATTTGCACTACTTAATCATTTATAGACAGGTAGTATTAGCGTAAAGAGCTCTGCACTCTGGCATACCTGGTATTAAATCCAGTCTCTACCATTAGCTGGGTGACACACAGGCAGACTAGTACTCTGCGCTTGTTTCCTCATATTAAAATAGGGAATAGTACATAGCACCTGGGATTATGACTGTTAAATTTAATAAGATATTATTGTCATTCAACTCTTTAATAAGATATTATTGTCATTCAAGAGTTGCTTTTTTTTTTTTTTTTTTTAAATTTAAAAAGCCAGTGCCTTACTCTGGAGTGCAGTGGCATGATCATAGCCCACTGTAACCTCAAACTCCTGGGTCACATAATCCTCCTTCCTTAGCTTCCTGAGTAGCTAGAACTACAGGTGTGGACCACTATACCTGGCTAATTTTTTAATTTGTTGTAGAAATGGGGTCTTGCTTTGTTACTTAGGCCTGTCTTGAACTGGTGATTCTCTTTTGTTGGCCTACCAAAATAGAGATTCAAAAAACAAACAAAAAAACACATATCAGAAAATTTGCTATCTTAATCTTTTTAAAGTATGTAGTTCAAATTGTTTCCTTTTAAGTGAGATTGATGTGATTTCAACAGTTAGGAATATAGCTTAATGCTTTTCTTCTAGGATAATAGTTAACATTTTTTGAGTTCATACTATGTGCCAAATATTTGCTAGATGCTTTTAGTGAATTCTTACTAGTTGCAACAACCTGTTGAGGGAATACATACTTTGTGTTAGAAGCAGTAAGGTGCTGAGGATATACTGAAATAAATTAGTGTGTCCTAAAATATATTAGTGTATGTCATTATAGTGCATAAAGAAATTCCATACACATTCTGTTTCACTTTTTTAGGCCATTCTCTACTTTCTTTCCCTTTTTTTTTAAAATTGTGTTGCTGAAATTGGTTTGCTAGTATTTTATTGAGGTGTTCTGGTTTGTAACTTACTTTCCCTGTGTTGTCTTTGTTTAGTTTTGGTATAAGAGTAATAATTGGCTTTATACAATGAGTTGGGAAATATTATCTCTTCTATTTTTTGAAACGGTTTGTGAAGAATTCTTAATTCTTCTTTGGATGTTTGGTCAAATTCAGCAGTGAAGCCACTTGTGGCTGAGCTTTTCTATGTGGGTAGTTTGTTTTTAATTACTGATTCATGGTATTTTGAAACTATTTCCTCTTGAATCAATTTTGATAATTTGTTTCTAGGAGTTCGTCCATTTCATCTAGTTCATCTAATATGTTGCCATACAGTTGTTTCTAGTATTCTCTTGTAATCACTTTTATTGCTTTTGACTCTAATGGTAGGACCCAGGAGGACACTAGAACCTAAAGAAATATGCAGTCCCTAGGAATAGTGTATCTTGTTTGCAAGTATTTGGAGTAAACTAACTATCGAAGAGTTGAGCTGAGTCCCTCTAAGGACCTATTGCCCGTCAGTAGGCTGACTGCAAACGAATATCAAAGAAAGAATTTGAGTTGTTTTTGGATTCTCCAGTAAACCATGATAGATTAACTGTAACATACATCATAAGCCATTAATCGACAAGGTCTCCATATGTCTTTGTCACTACATGGCCAGGTGTCTTCTCCATTTCTCTCATCAGAATTTTTCAAATTAGGACTGTTGGGAGGTCCTAGAAACCAATTTTCTTCCTTAGCTAGTTGCAAGTCTCAGAACCTTAACAGGTTGATCTGATACCCATTATAGCCAATATTGTATTGTCTACATACCCACCTACATACCCAATATTGTATTGTTTCTGGAAGAAAATTTTCTTTTGAAGAGGTATAAACAGTCATACATTTATCATTTTTATAGATCTACAGGAAGCTCAAAGAATCAAGATGATATTATGACTGCACAGAATGTTTCTCTAAAGCCTCAGACGTATGGATATACATGTAAGACACCAACAGAGTCAAACTTGGATTCTGAAGAGCATAAGACTTCAATTTTAGAGGAAAGGTATGCATATATTGTAAGGATAATAGTATTTCCTGACTGTACCCATTGCTGTATAACAGATTACCCAAGAACTTTATTTTAATTTTGTTGTAGGCTTAAAAACACTTACTGTTTCATAGTTTCTGTGGGTCAGCAATCTGAAAGACTTAGCTAGCTAGTTCTGGCTCAGATAATCTCAGGAGGTAGCAGTCAAGATGTCTTTCTGGTTTTAGTTTTTTAAAGTCTTGTCTGGAATTGGAGGATCCACCTGTAAAATGCCTCACTCACGTGGCTTTTAACTGGACGTCCCATTTCCTTGCTGGCTGTTTCCAGTAGACCTTCGTTTCTGGCCATGTGGCCCTCTCAGCTGCTGAATATGGTAACTGGCTTCCCACAAAGCAAATGCTCCAAGAGAAAGTGCGACTGTGATGGATATCACAGTGTCTTTAAATGACTTAGTTTTTGACATTGTACACTGTCACTTCTACTTTATTCTGTTCATTAGAAACAACTTATTAAGTCCACACAACATTCACGGAGAGGTGGAATTAGGCTCCACCTCTTAAAAGGTGGTATATTAAAGAATTTAGACATATAATGTTAAAATGACCACCTTTAGTGAGCAAATTGAATTAACCAACTCTTAATTATATCTGATGTCATATAACCAACCTTTTAAAAAATGAACAAAAGGTAAATTATAGCAAAGTCTCAGACTTTTAAGGGATGGCTGAGATTTCTGTCGTGGACCGTCCGGACGGGTAGGCACGTCTGCCCGGGGGTCTCTCGACCTGCAAGAGGGTCCCAATACCTGGAAGAGGGAGTGCGCCTGAGAAAATAATAAAGACAGAGAGAGAGAAAGCGAGGCGTCTGGAGGGCTGATAGGCTGTGCCTAAACAGCAAATTTTATTTTTCAAAGGCCAGGAATAAATACACTTTCTTGGCTCTGGTTTACGTCATAGCAAGAGGAATGTAAATGTATGCCTCACATGGCCTATACAATAGAGAAATCAGATACACAATGGTTGCAAGAGGAAATGCAAATGTATACCTCACATGGCCTATACAATTGAAAAGTCAGATACACAATCAGTGGTTGTAAAAAGTAACAGAATTTCCTGTAATCACAAAGCTTGTTTGCATCCAGACATTATTCCTCCTGGCTGCAGGTATCTCCAGTTTGATCTTGTTTTAGAACTGAGATGTGAAAAGGTTTTCTGGTTTTGCTCATCAGAATATCTCTTAACCGGATTCTCCTTTGCCTACTCCTAACTCAACTCAATTTCCCCATTCAGGAATCTCTGAGTCAGGAATCAAAGCCATCCCTTATGGTGGTATTTGCTTTGCAAATATCGACAGTTAAACCATTATCTAGGGTACAAGGCAGTCTGGTAAGTAAGGTTTAAGGATTATTCTTAAAGTCATAAAAAGGTTAAAAGCAGGAACCGGTTGCCGGCAGGGGGTCACTCGGTCTAGCAGCAACGCATAGTTTTAGGCCCAAACAATATTGTGGTTGATATTAGAAACTGATCATTCATCTTTCAGTTCCTATATTCAGGATAGCTCGACTGCCTCCAGTAGGAAACTGTGTTTGGGATCAAACTCACCGTATAGTGAGACTCACGCCTTTTAGGGGTCTCACACGGGAGTGTTCCCCACAATTTCTTTACTATTTGTGAGGTTATGACTAGGCTTATCCTGGGTTCATAATAGGTAAAAAGAGATCTAGGACTGGGAGAACCTGAATCATCTCTGACAATTTCCAGGCCACATTTTAAATTCCATTGGATTTTGGCTCTAATTTTTTTTTTACTTAAGATATGATTCTTTCTTTTTTTTTTTTTTAAACATATATAATTTTCACTACAGGATGTTATCATTTGAATTAACTAAGATCATAACTCTGATCTATAAGTTATAAATTCAGTCCTTAACGATGCTTGCTATCAGTTATGGTTGTAGCCTTTATTTAATGTGGCAAGTACAATTAGCCCTCCATATCTGTGGGCTCTGCATCCACTGATTGAACACTCATTGAGTGAAAATACTCAGAAAATATAAAATAGTAAAAAGTAACAATATAACATTAAAAATAATACAAATAAAAATACAGTATAACAACTATTTACATACATTTACATTAGGTATTATAGGTAACTTAGAGATAATTTAAATTATATAGGAGGATATGTGAAAGTCATATGCAAATACTGCACCATGGTATATAAGGGATTTGAGCATCCTTGGATTTTGGTATCTACAGTGGATCCTGGAACCAATCCCCCACAAATGCTGAGGGATGACTATATATTCTTGATGACTTGTAACATCATTATTGATTTTAAAAGAAAGACTTATGGCAATTTTAGGAGAAAAATGATCATTAAGGCAAATACATTAGATATATGCATTATAAAAGCATTAATTTTGTGGTTTACTTTTTTTTTTAAGTGGACCTTCCACGCTCAAGAATTATTTAATGTCTGGAAAGAAGAATAATGATGTAGATGATGAGGAAGTTCATGGAAGTTTAGGTAAACTTTTTTTTTTTGTCTTAATTTTTGTGTCATTTTGAATATGGAGTAAGGAGTGCTATGTTTTATTTACATTATCACTGATGGCAAATGCATATTGAGTACCTACCTCTTAAGACTCTTAGTTAGAAATTAGTAAGACCCTATGCCTAAGTGAGAGAGAAAAAAATAAGTGACAGTTTTTTAAGTAGAATGTAATGAAATACTGGCATTTAAGGTGTCTACTCCAGTATTTAAAATTGTTAAGCTGTTAAGGGTATACATGAAGCAAGATTAGTCATCTGTTGATTACTGAAGCTGGGTGATGGGTGTGTTGGGTCCATTGTGCTGTTTTATTTTTTTTCAAACTTGAAATTTTTTTTCTTGATATGGAATCTCACTCTGTTGCCTAGGCTGGAGTGCAGTGGCATGATCTCGGCTCATTGCAACCCCCGCCTCCTGGGTTCAAGCAGATCTCTGCCTCAGTTTCCTGAATAGCTGGGATTAGAGGTGCCTGCCACCACTCCTGGCTAATTTTTTATATTTTTCGTAGAGAGGGGTTTCACCATGTAGCTGGTCTTGCACTCCTGACCTTGTGATCCACCCTCTTTGGCCTTCCAAAGTGCTGGGACTACAGGCGTAACTCACTGTGCCTGGCTTTCAATACTTGAAAATTTTCATCCTGACGTTTAAAAATGCTTCTTAATAGAGAATTTTATAATTTTTTTATGCTCCTAAAAATGCATGTTTGATTGTAATTTGTTATACTGTTTTTTTTCTTAATAATCACTATGTGTTTAACTTTTTAATTTTTCCCTCATCATTAGATTTATTATGTCATTTTTCTTTTTTAACTTAAATGCTTTCTGTGTTTTTCTGCTTTTTCTTTGGTAAAGAAGCAGCATTGAATTTCCCTCATTATAGTTTTGGCTTAATTTTATAGGCTTTGCTATGTAGTGTTATTGTAGTATACTCTGAATTATAGTGATTTTTCTTTGACTCAGTAGTTATTTAAGAGTACATAGTCAAGAGCTTGGTTTCCAGAATCATGGACCTGGGATTTGTTCTAGCTCTACTACTTACTGGCTATGTTATCATTTTTTCCCCCATTCACCACTGATCAGAAAGCATCACTATGCTATCTTGAGTAAGAAATTTTAGTGTTCTTAAACTTCAGTTTCCTTATCTGTAAAATGATATCAGCTCTAATCCCATAAGTTGATATAAAGATGAATACATGTTCTTTGCTTAGTTTAATATCTGGTGTGTGTAAAATACCCAATTTTGGCTGTTATCTAAGAAGTTATGTTTTATTCTTTTATTATTTTCTGGTTTTGTTTTGTTCTGGAAAACTTGGCCTATATTATTTAGTGGTTGAATTCAGTAAGGTTTTCTTTATGTTCCAATATCTAGTTTATGCTTAGTTTTTATAATTTTTCGATCAGTGCTTGAAAAAGAATAATTTATGTACAGATGGGGACTTAAAGATATATATCCAGTTATTTTGTCGATAATGTAAGTCAATATATTTTTTTGAATGTATTTTGAATGCTTATGGAATTCTTAAATATATATGAAAAATTATGGAATAGTCACTGTACATTCTAGGGCTTAGGTATGTGTCAGTGAACAAAACTAACAAAAATTTCTCCCTCCTGGAGCATAATTTCTGGAAGGGGCAGGATAGCAGACAATTTAAAAGGATAACAAAATTTATAATTTGTTGGGTGTTGAGAGTAGAAACATAAAGTAGGGGTTTTAGGGTGGCAAATGAAGTTTACACTTTTAGGTAGGTGGGCAGAGAGGTCCTCACTAAGGAAGTGATCATTTGAGCAAAGTTGTGAAGAGATGAGACAGTAAACCATGCAGCTGTCTGGCTAAGTAGTGTCCTAGGTAGAGGGAAGATGAAGGGCAAAGGTTCTGGTATGGTAGAGTCCATCGTGATTGAGGAACACCAAGAAGGCCAGGGGGTTAGAGCAGAGGAAGAGAGGGTGAGTAGCAGGAAAAATGATGTCACAGAGGCAGCGGAATGAAAGATCACATAGGATGTTAAAGGCTTTTATTAAGAGAGATGGGAAGCCATTAGAGGGTTTTGAGCAGAAGACCTGTATTAACAGAATCACTGCAGCTGCTGTGTTAGGAGTTGACCGATGGGGTTGAGGGGACAGAGGAAGGTTGGAAGCTAGGAGACTGGCTGGAGAGATGTTGAAATAATCCTAATGAGAGGTGTTGGCTTAGACCAGTGTGGTACCAATAGAAGGTGGAGAGCAGGAGGAGGATTTGTAAGTGTTTTTGAAGGTAAACACAACAGGATTTTCTGATGGAGGAGATGTGATATATGAGAGAAAGAATATTAGAGATAACTTGAAGGTTTTTGGCCTGAGTACCTGGAAGAATAGCAATATTGTTTCCTGATCTAGGGATTATTGGGGAATAAGCAAATTTTGGGGAAAAGAACAGGATGTTAGATTTGGACATCATAAGCTTGATAGTATTCTGAACCTTTGTATTTTTACTTTTGATTTGAGATCTGTTAACGACTGCTAGAGTTGAAGGGTGCCACTCCCAACTGTCTTTCTCCTTGTATTTCCTGTAGTCTTTGTTATGTATATTTCAGTGCTATTACTAATCACATAAACCTTCATTCATATGGAAGGTACCTGTTTTGGTCAAATCTCCTTCATTGTGTTCAATGCTTTTTACTTTGTAGTTTGTTTTGTCTAGTATTAATATTGTGACCTACAATTTCTTTTGGTTGGGTATTGTTTCTTATCCTTTTATTTAACTTTTATTAGAAAATTAAAAGTGGCTCAGAAACAGCATATGATTGAATTGTTTTTGACTTGCTGTGTAAGTATTTTTCCCTTTAATAAAATATTTAATATATTTACACTTACTGTCAACAGATATATTTGTTACTTCTTAGTTAAGGTGGTAGACATTCTCACATATTCCAGCAAGGACTCAGGCTTTTTCTTTTTTAAACACAATGAACCACCAGCTAAATAGAGAACATAATCTTGAGTCATGATCTTTTTTTCTTTAAACTATCTGCCTGTTGCTCTTTTGCTTCATGAGAGTTAATGCTTATGAATAGAAATTTGAAGGCAGCCTTATTTCTTGTTTCCTTTGTAGATAACCAGTTTTCTTCCATCTCCAGGCTTACTAGGATCCTTTAATCTTTGAAATTTAGGAGTTGTCCCTTGTGTTAGTCACTTAAAAAATAATTTATTTTGAAATAATTTGAGTCTTAAACAGAGATCCCATATCCCCTTCATTGAGATTTCACAATTGTCCGCGTTTTTCAGCATTTTTCCATCTTCCTCCCTGTCTCCTCTAATAAATATTTATACGTTTATTAGCATTCATCTTTTTCTAAACTATTTGAAAGGGAATTATAGACATAATATATTATTTCTCTTAAATACCCCGTAATGCATTTCAGCAAGACAAGGATATAAATACCCTCTAACTACCCAGATAAGGCAATCAGCATTAATACAACACAGATTCATTCACAGATTCCATTCAGATTTCACCAGCAGTTCCTTTTCTCTTCTAGCTCAGGATCCAATCCTGGATCTCAGTGTTTCCTTTTCTTCCTGGTTCAAGATCCAGTCATCAGCGACTGCATTTAGCTGTCATGTCCCTTAGTTTCCTTCAACATGGAACAGTTCCTTAGGTTTTTTTTCCTAACTTTCCTGACACTAACATTTTTAAAGAATGCAACCTTCTAGGCTGGGCATAGTGGCTCAGGCTTGTAATTCCAGCACTTTGGGAGGTCAAGGCAGGTGGATCACAAGGTCAGGAGTTTGAGACTAGTCTGGCCAAGATGGTGAAATCCTGTCTCTACTAAAAATACAAAAAATTAGCTGGTCATGGCGATAGACACCTATAATCCCAGCTGCTCAGGAGGCTGAGGCAGAGAATTGCTTGAACCCGGGAGGCAGAGGTTGCATTGAGTGGAGGTTGTGTCACTGCACTCCAGCCTGGGCAACAGAGCAAGACTCTGTCTCAAAAAAAAAAAAAAAAAAATACAGGCTTCTTATCTTTAGAATGACCTTCAGCCTGGGTCTTTCTGTTTCCTCGTGATCAATGTGTGCTACTGATATTTAGAGTAATACTACAGAAATGGTACTATAGGGTTAGGAGTTAGGGGTTGTAATTTGTGCATCACACAGGAGGCACACAGTGTTGACCTTCTACATGATGCTTTTTTTTTTTGGTTTTGGTTTTTTTTTTTTGTTTTTTTTTTTTTGAGACAGAGTCTTGCTTTGTCACACAGGCTGGAGTGCAGTCGTGTGATCTCAGCTCACTGTAACCTCTGCCTCCCGGGTTCAAGCAATTCTTGTGCCTTAGCCTCCTGAGTAGCTGGGATTACAGGCATGCATCAACACATCTGGCTGAGTTTTGTATTGTTAGTAGAGACAGGCTTTCACCTTGTTGGCTAGGCTGGTCTCAAACTCCTGACCTTAAGTGATCTGCCCACCTCAGCCTCCCACAGTGCTGGGATTACAGGTGTGAGCCACCACGCCTGGTCGACATGATGTTAATCCTGATCACCTGTTCACATTGTCTACCAGGTTTCTCTACTGTAAAGACACTACCTTTCTCTTATAATTGATAAATATTGTGGAGTGATATTCTGATACTATTTTAATAACCTGTTTCTTGTCAAACCTCCATCCACCAACTTTAATGTACATTGAAGATTCCCAGTTGAATTATCAGCTGCTAATAATGATACCACATTATTTTCTATTTTCTATTCTTTTATTCCTTCCCCATTAATTAGTTGCCAGTTTTTCTCTTCCATGCCAGTTATTTATTCATTATTCATTTTATTTATATCAATATGGACTACTAGGTTTATATTTTATGTCGTGTGGTTGTAATCTTGATCATTTATTGTGATACATTGTGATATATTTGGTCATTTGATTTTCTTTCAGCTGGTCTCTGTGCTTTTGTTATGATTCTGTGAATACTGTCTTTGGTTTTTGGCATGAGGTGTTCCAGTT